GGTGGGCCCGCCTGGACGAGGAGGGGCCCTGGCGAGGGTGGCGCTGGGGCAGGAGCAGGCACCTGCAGCCGGGATCAGAAGGGACCAGCATATCAGGCCCAGGGGGCTGCCAAGCAGGCAGGAGTCAGGCTGCGGCCAGGAGGCCATGTCCGGCCTCCAGCCTGACCACACACACCTCTGGACGGAACTCAGCTGCAGGCGCTGACCTCACAGTAGGGCCGTGAGGCAGGGAGGGTGGGGGCAGGGCCTTGGCCTGAGCCTCCCTCGCCCTTGGGGTGTGGGGGTTGGGGCAGCAGGGTGGATGGGCCTGGGAGCCACCCTCAGGGTCCCGGTCAGATCAGAGGCAGAGGCGACCTGGCTGCAGCCGGGGCCGTGGGGCGGGGCCAGAGCCCTGATTGGGAAAGGGGGAGGGGCGGGCCCTGCACTTGGGCCCGGGGTGCTGGAGACAGTGCCCCAGCCCCAGGCAGCTCACAGCAGCTCCCACAGCGGTTCCCAGGCGCTTCTCTGAGGAGAAGGACAGCAGCCGCTCAGGTGGGGCCTGGTGACCGCTGGCACCACCCTCCTGCCAGGGCCGGACGGGCAGGGGCTGAGGATGGCCAGGGAGTGGCCCTGTGCCCACTGCCCTCGCATTGGCTGTTTGGGGGAGGGTCCGGCCCATACCCCAGTGATGCCCAGTTTGGAGGCCCCCAGGGGGTCCCCAATCACCCAGAGGAGGTGGCCACCCTCCTCCAGAGGCGGTGGCTCAGAAATGGCTGCGGGCAGTGTCCTGGGCTCCGGCTTAAACATGTCATTGAAGCCAGAGCCACTGCCACTTGGGGCTGCCTGCCCGTCCCTCAGAGGGTCTGGTCCCTGCACAGCCCCCTGCAGCCCAGGCGAGCACTGCCCAGGGGACTCGCCTGCAGGCTGGCACGGTCCGGGTTAACCGTGGCCTCCTCCCCACCCGCCTACACTGGCCCCTCCGCCAACACCCAGGCAGCAGGAGGAAGTGCCCGCCCCTCAGCGGACCCACAGGCTGGGGGAGGCTTGGCTGGGTTCCAGCTGGTCCCGGGTCATTTGGGACCTCCCTGACCCGACAGGCGCTCCCCCTCTTGCCCTTGGGGACCTCCTGGCAGCTCCTGACACCTCTCCACCTGCTGAGTGATGCTGTGACCTGAGGCCCCGGGTTAAACCGCACTCATTCACAAACAGACCAGGGCAGGTGTGCAGGTGGCCTGTGCCCGGGCCTGGCACTGTCACCCGCCAGGCCGGTCCGGCAGGTTTGCATCCTGGTTGAGATGACAAAGGCGCACCCAGCCCAGTGCCAAGCAGATGCTGTTGGGAGACTCAGGGCCGCTGGGCCTCGGAGCGGGAAGCCCTCTGCTGACCGCGGCTCCGCACAGGCAGGGGCCCAGGAAGCGGCTGCGGCGTCCAAGGCTGGAGCTCTGAGCCCAACCCCACCCTGCCCCCTAGAGCCCGTGGCAGGCCGAGTTCTCAGAGAGGAGGGGTCCCGAGTCGGAAATGCCGCTTGGCCGGCCTTGTGCAGAGGGGGCCTGTGGGACCCACGGGGTTGTCTGGGCAGCGATGGCTCCAGGCCTGGACAGTGGGCACACTTGTTCTGAAGGGACTTGGTCGCCTGTGGGGCAGTGCCAGGCTCGAGCGGGTCCTGCCTGAGGTTCTGGCACCGGAGGCTGTGTGTCCAGAGCAGCTGAGGCCGGACCTGGCCCGTCTGCACCTCCCCCTCCTGGGACCTCAGGTTCCTCTGGGCGCTGCACGGGGAGGCGGCGCCCGGGCTCCTGCGTGTGGCACTGTGTGCTGGGCCCAGGTGCGCTCTGGCCACACGTCAGGGGTGGAGGTAAGGGGCCTTCCTGCAGCCGCTGGCCTTAAGTGTGGGACGGGGACCAACGGCCACCCCTCTCGCCTGGAGGCATGTCCCAGGCAGCCCCTTCCGCTGGGGATGCAGGAAGGTCCCGGCTCAGGGGGATTTGTGGCCACCTGCCTGCCTGACGGTCCACTAGACCCACACGTCCCCACAGTGGCCCTGGGGCTCTTGGCGCAGCACTCGGGGGCTGGACCCTCAGGCCGGGCTGAGGGAGGCACCGCAGGCTTCTTCCCGAGGCCAGAGGAGTGAGGCTGGAGCTGGAGGCCTGGCGGGTGGGGTGGCTCGAGGGCCCCCAAGCCAGGCCTGCTTCCTCCGCCTGGTTGAGGGCCTCAGGCATGGCCACGGGCAAGAACTCCTGCGGGCAGAGCCCACGCGCAGGTGTGCAGCCCTGGCCTCCCCTGGGGCTCCCTCCCTCACCTGCTCCGGGAGCTGGGCCCGCCAAGTGGAGGGAGATGTGTCCGAAGGTCACCAGGGGCCCACAGAGCCAGCGGCTCAGGGAGGAGATGAAGAACCGGCTGCTTTACTCTGTTCTCTGGGGACTGGGCAGGGGTGTGGCCAGGGGCAG